TGTTGGCGAATAAGAGGTGGCATGGGTTGCAGTGTAGGTGCAGGCTAGGTGACAACCTTGGAGAAGGCATCTCTGCTTGCATGTAACACGATTGGACGCGATGGGAGGCGCCATTGGACTTGGCGAAAGAGTACAAAAATGAAAGGTGTCACCATCCCTATTGGCGAATAAGAGGTAGCATGGGTTGTAGTGTAGGTGAAGGCTAGGTGACAGCCTTGGAGAATGCATCTCTGCATGCATGTAACACGATTGGACGTGATGGGAGGCGAATTAGAGGTTGCTTACTGTTGGTTTATTCAAATTCAGTACAACCTATTTAATCTTACATTTATCAAAACACTCCTACACTTAATCACTCAAACACTAGAACATTCAAAAATTCAAGCAATTAACTCAAATACTTCAAACCTTCAAACCTTTAAATAATCATACACAATGGCCTCTGCACCCCAATATGTGATCAGTGCACATTTCAACGGTGAGACATACATTTGTCCCACCTCTGGGTTTTTGTTTAGAGACACCGAGAACATCTGATTTTGTTTAAACAGGAAAGCCAATTTCTTGTATTTCAAAAAATGATTGGATGCCAAACTTGGACGAGGTCCCGTGACACAAATCTTTTATCAGGATCCGTTTTTTTTTTTTGGTAACAACCAAATAATATTTTATAAGGTTGAAGTTCAAGATGACGAGGACCTTCAGAATATGTTTTCCAGTCTTGAGTATTCGGGGTACGACTCTATTGAGTTGTACATTATGCTGCGAGAGCCTCAGCTGTCACAAGTGGTTGAGCCTCTGGAGACCGAACAAGCATAAGTAGATGCCATTGATGAAGAAGAAGAAGATGACGAGTTTGAGTTTGACGACATGGTCAACGATGATTCCGAAGATGATGGGATACCTGGTATTCCTTCAAATGAGATCTACACACCACCTCCGCACATGATAAACTTCAACATGCGGAGATGAACCGTCATCTGATTTATTTTTGAATTTGTATATGCAGTCGGATGAAAACTTAAAAGAGAAAAACAAATTTCGTAATAGAGAAGAATGTATCCGAGCCATCAAAAAATTTCACATGCTCAACTCGGTCGATTTTAAGGTGGACCGTGTAAATCCAGAAAGGTACAAGATCAAGTGTATCCACCCAGATTGTATGTTCAAGCTCACTGCATCATACAGATTAAGAGGTGATTGTTGGGTCATAGGTTCTATGTCCACCCGCACTTGTGTCAGTTCTACCCAATCAAAGGATCGTCGGAAACTAAATTATGATCTCATATGTCAAGAAATCCTACCACTCGTCAGCAACGATCCATCATTGAAGGTGAAAACCATAATCTCCTACATCACTACGGTATTTAACTATACTCCATATTACCGAAATGCGTGGTTAGCAAATACCAAGGCGATTGAAAAGGTATATGGAAACTGGGAGGAGTCATACCAAGATCTTCCTCGCTACTTGAATACACTTCAGACTTATTTTTCGGGTATTGTTTACATTCTGGAAACACTGCCAGCGTACGCCCCAGATGGTAGTCAACTCAATGGAAATGGAATATTCAGTCGAGTGTTTTGGGCTTTCCAACCTTGCATCACAGGGTTTGTGTCATGCAAACCAATTATACAAATTGATGGGACTTGGTTGTATGGGAAATACAAAGGCATGATATTGATGGCAGTTGCACAAGATGGAAACAACAACATTTTCCCAATTGCCTTTACCCTAGTCGAGGGAGAGACTAGTGGTTCTTGGAGCTTCTTTCTCAAGAATCTTCAAACACACGTGGCTCCTCAACCAAATCTCTGTTTGATCTCTGATAGACATGCATCCATTGAAAGTGCATACAACAATCCTACAAACGGTTGGCATGACCCTCCTTCTACGCATGTCTATTGCATTAGACATATCGTCCAAAATTTCACGAGGGAGATCAAATACAAAGCTCTTAGGAAAGTTGTTATGAATACGGGATATGCATTGACACAACCTACGTTCAAATATTATCGCAACGAGATCCGTTTGTCAAATTCAGATGCCGGTAGGTGGATCGATAATATTCCGGTAGAAAAATGGACTAGGTCATACGAAAATGGACAAAGATGGGGCCACATGACAACATATCTAATTGAATCCATGAACGGGGTATTCAAAGGCATACGAAACCTCCCAGTAACTGCTTTGGTTAAATTAACATATTTTAGGATGGCTTCGTTGTTTGCCAAAAGAGGTGAAATATGGAATGTTGTGTTGCAATCTAGACAACTATGGAGTGAAAGCTGCATGAAGTATATTAAGGGAGAAAGTGCCAAAGCCAACATCCATCTGGTTATACGGTTTGACCGACACAGCCACAACTTCATTGTCAAAGAGACAATCGACCTCAACGAGGGCCTGCCAAGACAAGAGTATAGGGTTATACTACCTTCTCGTTGGTGCGATTGTGGCAAGTTTCAAGCCTTTCGTATGCCTTTCTCTCATGTCATTGTTGCGTGTTCCTATACTCATCAAGACGCACTACAACTTCTGTCTCCCATTTACAAATCTGAAACCTTGCTCAATGTATACAACAATAGCTTCCCTTTGGTAGCAAAACCTGATTATTGGCCTGCATACAACAGCGAAATAGTATGGCACAATGACCAAATGCGAAGGAATAAAAAGGGTCGTCCCAAAAGTAAGTGCATCACAACTGAAATGGACTCCCTTGACAAGCTGGAAAGAAAGTGTGGTTTATGTCGTCAGGTCGGACACAATCGCAAAAATTGTCTGAATTCGGCTACTGGCTCAACCACATAAAAATTGTATTACAAAACATCTTTCCTTTTTTAAGTTGTAAACATTAGGGTTTTTCATTAACATTATTTGTTACAATAAACCTTGCGCGAACAAGAAATAAAACACGATAAACCGTCTACAAAATTACAACCGTTAAAATAATTCCATCTGACCCATGCATCATCAACATTACGTCGCTGTCTATTTTGACTTCCTCCAACAAAAAAATTAGGTCTTCCTGTCGCAAGTGAGGTTGCTGTTCGTCTTCGCTGGATCCTTCTAATTTTTCCCCCTCCTCGATGTCTCCCTCTAGCCATCGCATCAACTTCTCTTCAGACGCTCAATGGAGTGAATGTGCCAGAATTTCATTTTCATCGGAGGTTTTGTGGCGCAGAAAATGACGTAACCATATCTGGTAAAAATCATGAGTGATGTCATGACGCAAATAAAAGAGAGAAAAAATAAGAGAACAATGCGAGAAAGTGTGAGGAATGGCGGAGAAACGGACAAATTATTTATAAAAATTGTATTTTTCCCTAGGAGTCAAGTGAGATGGCGCCTCCTCTCACTTTTAAAGTGCATGCGCCATCTCACTTGGCTAAAAGAGAGAGGAGGCACCAAGTGGGATGGCGTCTAGGACAAAATAGAGAGTGGATGCGTCAACTGGGTTGGCTCCTCCCATGTGGAGTTTTCTGAAACATGGTTATTTGCAATTTTTTTTAATACCTGGTTATTTCAGAAAAAAATTCCATTCATTGAATTAATATAGATTTTAATTATTTATTATTATTTTATCATTTATTATTATTCTATCCATAATCACTCAATATATAAATATGTGATATTGAGTTATCATGTTTACAAATAATTTTTTATCATAATTAGTTATTAAAATAATTTTTATATTTGTGATTTGTGATTTGTGATTTTTATTTATTGTTTAGAAAAATTAAGTAATTCAAAATTTATATAAAAAAATATATATAAAGTAGTAAATAATTTTATTCTTACTTGATTTCTTTCATTTCAAATTTTTGTTAAGTAGTGATTATTAATGTATTTATTTATTTTTTTAAAAATTTTATATCATCATAATTATATAATTATAGTGCATTAGTTATATTATTATTATTATTATTATTATTATTATTATTATTATTATTATTATTATTATTATTATTATTATATTATTATTATTATTATAATTATAATTGATGACATGTGACTGAGATTGTTATCAAGATGACCTGTAGTTATAGTTGTCATCATGACTTCTTTGATTTTATATTAAGTAGATTTATGAATATATATAACATAGAAGGAAACTATCAATATTACCTTTTTATCTAAATAAAATTTAGACTATAAAAAATATTTTATTATAATTAACAAATATTAAAAGAAATGCCTTATACTTTCTCTCCTTCATTATTTTTTCATTTTCCACCTCATTTATTTATATTATTTTAGTCAATTATATTCAAAATTCAAAATTCAAAATTCAAAATTTTTCAAAATTTTTCCACAATTTTGAAATTAAAATCTTTCATTTTTCCACAATTTTTAATTATCATTTATGTATTTTAATAAAATATTATTGTACATATTAGTTTTAATTATATATTGCCAATTCTACATTTGTATAAATATGAGTTTAAAAATTTTTATTTTAGTTTTTACGATGTATTTAAAAAATTGTATTTATTTATTATCACTAAAAATATTAATTAATAAATTTTATAATTTTAATAAAATTAACAATTTATTTTATCATAAATTTGCTTTCCATCTCCCGGACGACTATATCATATTATTTATTTTTATTTTAATCAAAAAACAAAATCCTTATTTTCATTACAAACAAATAATAATTTTAATCCAATTTAAGATGTATCCATTCTTTTACTTTTTATCTCGAAATATATTTTAATTACTATTTACTGACATTCAAATAGAAAATTTTGAATATTATATATTGATATCAGAATTTTAAATAATAAAATATTTTAACTAATAGTCACTATCAATAAAATACATATATTTTATTTTAAACAATCAAATTTATATGATCATGATTCATTTTTCAATTAAAAAACTCATTTTAAAATTACTTATATATTTAAATATATGTTATATTTTATCAAAATAAATTTACCCGTGCAGAAGCACGGATATCTTACTAATTTTATTAATAAAAAGATATTCTTAAATCCTAATGACATGAAATTTGAGAAGATATTGGAACAAATAAAAACCTAGAATCCGAATCATAGGTGAAAGTGACAACTGAAGCCAAATAAAGTGGTGCTCCTTGGATGAGAAGACAACTTTTACTAAAGATTTTTGGATCAACAGGTTGACTTGATTTAAATCCATGGCAATTGAACCTAATTTTTGATTGACTGCAAATACAATGGTTGGTGACACTAACGTTGTACCTCGTGGCTGATGTTTTGGATTGTGAAACTTGAATGTCACTCAAAGAACAAGGATGTCCATAAACTGCAATATCAACCATGAATTAAACACCAAGTAATGAAAATAATAAATCAAATAATTAACAAGATAGTATTCATGCTAGAAAACATGAAAGGTATGATACCTTGGAAAACTAGAGCAAAGAAGAGAGTGATGGAGAGAATGTTGAAAATAGAAGCCATTTGAGATTTGAGTGTAAATATGTAAAATAGTGTTTCTGTGGTAGAAAAGTGTGCATTGGCACACTATTTATACTATCAAGTGGAACTAAAAATTAGCATCCGATAATCCTTCTTTATTATTCTTTTCCTCCAATAATATTTATATTATTTTACTTGATTAAAGGAAAAATAATAAATAAAAAGTGATAATTTTATCTATTTAACCATAAAATATAGGTAAGAGTAGTATAACAGGTTGTGGCGTGTCAGATTGGCTCGTGCACCCGTTCAAGATAGAGGATTGGATTGAGATTTTAGACTTACCGTCCGCTAAAATCAGTCATGTCAAAGTCCATCATCCGTCAAAGTTTGTGCCGCCTATTCGTTCATTTTGTTTTGTCTTAAGTCCGTATTTTTTAGTTAATTCTAATAATTTTAATTCTTGATGATTTTATTTATACATATATTTGTGAATGTATGTAATATTTTTGTAAGGAAAATTTGTTAAAAAATGCTTTAAAAAACGGTTTTAAAAAATAAGTGAAAAATTTAATTAAATTGTAAAAAAACCTATTAATTTATTAAAAATTAAATAAAAAATTTGATATGTAAGTCCACCGCCTGCCAACCTGCTATATTGATGAGACAAACTAAATTTTTATATCTATTTTTATGTGACGGACTTGTCTATTCCACTCTCTTTTTGATGGAATTAAGGCGGAATAAATAACCTGTTTTACTACTCTTAAATATAAGTAATATTATAATTTAATAATGGTCAAAATAATAATATACATTAAAATTATAATATATTCCCACATGTTCTTAGTTAAAACAATTATACATTGAACATGATATTTTTTTATAACATTTTTAATTTTAAACTATAATAATAAACTTAACAAAAAAATAAGAAATTTCTATTATGAAAACGTTCTAGTGATCCAATTTTTAATTATTTTTCGAATTTCAAATCTTTAATAAGGTAAAATAGGATTTCCAAAATAAAATTATAACATATGTACCTTCTAGCAAAATAACTCTATCATTTTTTTATTTTAAATATTTTAATTAATTATCTTGTTGTTAAAAAATCAGGATATCAAATCTATGGGCATTATGTGCATAAGATATGAATTCTATTGTGTTGAGTTTATTTGAATAATATGTAATGTCTTTTATAGAAGTAGATTAAATTAAAATTTTCAATGTAGTTGTATATGTAAGTGACTGTCATATGATTATGTTCTCGCGTAAAGACATTAAACGAGTGATTTTCTTGTAGTAACAAGGAGAGTAGTAACAAGGGTAGATTTTTGTATATTTGTAGGAGTTTGGGTGTTACGACAATGATGTGTATTGACCCAAGATGAATGTCTTGCTATCCCTCTAGAGGGAACCCCTTTATATAGTATAATCCTTAACTATTTAAGTCATCTTGTAATGCTTGTAACCGCCAATCAATGACTTGTAACGTTCGTAACCGTCCATTAGTGACTTGTAACATTTATCTTATCATTAGACCATAGTTACACCTCTTACTCTCCCCGAATTTGGCTCCCTGCAAATCGGCTTTACTATACCGAGCTCATGCTCGATAGCTTATTTAGTGTTAGTTCTGGGCCACACCCTGACTCACCATTCATACCCGGCAAAGACCTGACCAAGTAATCGCATATGGTCCGTAGGGGTATCTCCTATATTGGCCTGTATTATATTCTTTATTCGAGTTCATACCTCAACTTTGATAAAAATATTTCGGATGTACACAAATTCAAAAACAAATGTGAAATGAACTTACCAATTTTCAACTGGCCAATATCGGCTCTTAGTGCAGGATAAGTGATTTCAATGCAATTATTGGTTCTCATGAAAAATTTGCTAGATGACCTCTAAATTGTTTTTCATAGATGAGTTTTTTGGTACGAGAAATCAAAATGAGCTTATGCATTTTGACACTAATGGTAGCTATTACACATGAGCCCATGGAAAATCACTATGAACATTACCTTATTTTTCTCCATGGTGGCAAATGTAGCTATTAAAATGAGAAATCACTTCGAACATTACTCTATTTTTCTCCATGGTGGCAAATGTAGGATTGATTCGACTAGGGCATTCAAATTTTTGAAGGTTTGAACTCTGGATGATAAATGCAGACAATTAATTGGTGATAATTGAAATACTAGTGTGGTTGATTTCTTTAAGTTTGTTTTATCTGATATGTTGAGATATCTTAAACCTATACTTCAAAAATGGAACAAAGAGACATTTGTCAATATTCATCTTAAAGTCATTTAATCTATCGATGACAGCTCCGGGGTTTTCGCCAGGATGAAGGTAGAACGAGTTTCTGGGGTTAAGGGTGGGGTCGAATACGTTGGTTTCTGCAGTGTTGTGTTTAGGACTGCTTTTGGAGGAAGAGTATGATTCGAATTCGACATCAAATGCCATTGTCGATGAGATAAAGCAAGAATTAGAAAGATGAAATGTGAAAGATGAGGAACAAAAAGAACAAGAAAAAAGAAAGATGAATGAGATGCAGAAGCTTGAAGGAAAGAGGTATAGTCTACTGATACCATATTACAAGTGGGTATCCCATCTTGGAGAAAGATAAAGTGAATGTAATGTTTAAAAAGGGGAATTTCCGCTGATTCTCATTACCCAAAAAGAAAGAAGAAGGATACAATACATAAGAACAACGATGGGCTTAAGCTAACATAAACCTAAAGTCCAAAAGGGAAAAATAGAAAAGAAGGCCAATATATATATATATATATATATATATATATATATATATATATATATATATATATATATATATATATATATATATATATATATATATATATATATATATATATATATATATGGCTAATAGAATATCCCGAATGGGGAATAGAAGTACCACCATAGTTTAGCTTTATCCAATTAGAAGGAGGTGGCAACCAAAATACCTCCAAAATGTTCGGAGCTCAGGGCGGCCACAGGATTGGCATTACTGACTATGGAAATTGTAGTCGAGATTAAATAGGTAATAGAAGAAAATGAAGTAAGAGTGTCTTTAAATCTCACCAAATTATGGGCCTTCCAAATTGCATTGATAGAAAAAATGCAGGCGACAATGTAAATCAACATGTAGTGCTCCTTATCCTAAGACCCGAAAATTCTCGACAACTCTGTCCAACCAAGAATGGGGAAGCTGATACTAAGAATTTTCTTCACCCAACCCAGAAGCAAACAAACAGCCAAAAAACAAATGATTCTCTATTTCCTCTTCCAAACCGCATAGGTCGCACCTAGAGGAAAAAGCGAAACTGCATCTTTTAATCTGATCATCCGTCGGTAATTTGTTGTGAAGGAGTCTCCAAATCGTAAAAGATTTTCTCGGAGGGATAAACTTGTTCCATATCCATTTCCAGCAATCCTTAGAAAAGCTACGATGCCGCTTGAATTCATAAGCTGCCTTGAGAGAAAAGTTGTCATTCAAAGAGTGCATCTAAAGCCGCTGATCCAACCTAAAAACTATCAGGAAGTGACAGTTCAGAATCTGCTTCTGACTAGGCTGCAGAATGACAGAGTGTGCCTTTGAAAAATTCCACTGGCTATTAACAATAAGGTCTTTAACGATTTGATATAATCGTTGGGGCAGCATCGTCAGCACACAAAAGAGAACCACACCAATTATGAGTAGATATATTTGATATTATAGATACAATACAATTGTCACACCAGGTTTGAAAACTTTATATCCTTAAATATTTATTTTTCTTGGATAATAAAATATTTCAAAAAATAAAAAATAAAAAAAACAACAATATGAATAGATATATTTGATATTATAGATACAATACAACTGTCACACCGAATTCGAAAACTTTATATCCTTAAATACTTTTATCTTTAATAATAAAATAAAATCCTAACTCTTTAACAACATGCAATTACAGAAAAAACCGGTGTAAATTTAAACTCAGTATGGGAAGTATAGGTAAAGGTGACAGATTTATATTGATAAAGTGGTGCTCCTTGGATAAGAAGACCATCTTGGCTAAGAATTGCTGGATCAACAGGCGTGCTTGATTTAAATCCATTGATATTCAACTTCACATCAGTTTGAGTGCAAAAACAATTGTTGGTCAAAGTAACATTTCACATTGATCCTGATGTCTTGGTTTGTGTAACACCAATAGAATTTAAATCACAATAACCATTAGCTGCAATATCAACAATAAATTAAACATATATTTATATATATGAATCACGTACGTCAATAATGACACGTACCTATATAGGTAATAATTTAAAAAGATAAAAAAATTAAATATATTAATTTTGAATGTCAATATTGACACTCATTCATTTTTTTTCCAGAGACATCGATGTTAAAAAAAAACTATGAAGTTTAATATAAGCTGGTTTATACAGAAAGAGTAATCTATGGGTGTAGAAAGGGTCTGTGAGATTACTATGTATGCTATACCTTGGAAAACTAAGGCAAGGAAGAGAGTGATGGAGAGAATGCTAAAAATTGAAGTCATTTTAGATTTGAGAGTTTGAATATGTAAAATAGTGATTTTGTGAGAGGTGAATGTTGATGCTCACAATATTTATAGGTCGAATAAATGATACTATTTTATTCAATCCAATATTGTATTTAAACAAAAGTATATTTCTTCGGTCAAAAAGTATTTGTAGTATTTGATTTTATATTATAAATTAGGGGAAAATTATATATAAGTAATAATTGTTTTTTAATTCATTGGTCAAAATGAAATTCCTAGTCAAAAGTATTGTAGTGATATTAATTATTATGATATTTTCAATTACAAATAAGTTTATAAATATTACAATAACAATACAAAAATGAAAAATCATATAAACTTTCTAAAATGAAAAAAGCTTTCAACTCAAAATTTTAATTCTAAATTATTTTGAAATCTTCAATCAATTTATGAAGTAAATTAGAATTTTTAAAATAAATAGCAATTTAATATACACTCTAATATTTATCAAAAATA